ACGTGGCGTCAGGTGGCTGGGTCGTTTGTGGAGAGGTCCAAAACCGTTTGCTGGAGCACTCCCGTGCGGGGTCGTCGGCGATCCCAGGCGGGAGCGGATTGCTCCGTGGGCGCGGCGACGCTGGTGAGCTCGGCGAGCTTCGCAGAGTGCCAGTCGCGGCAGCTGTTGTGGCGCTTGTTGCGGGACTCACCCACCTCGCACTTGACTGCGTGCCAGCCGTGCGGGTCCAGGAGCTCGTTGCACAGGGTGCCGTCCTGGCGGCGGCGCTGGCAGCGTGAGCCAGGCGGGCAGACCGGGATGCAGAGGCGACGCTTCAGGTTGCCGCAGAAATGCGGGTCGGGCTGGCGGGGGTCGTCTGGCTGGCGCGGGAGGAGCCCGCTGCCGGCGCCGGTGCCCCCGTTCTCCCGCAAACGCAGGCGGCGGTCCTCGTCGAGCGTCCGCAGCAGCTTCTCCCTGTTGGCCGCGGAGGCCGTCTTGCCCCAGTGGTTCTGCAGCTGGGGCCGTGGTTCTGCCGGAGAGCTGCCTCCGCCTGGTCGAACGTCTGCTATGTCCGCGGGCAACGGGCTCGGAATTCCTCGAGCGAGCTGGCTCCGAGGCAGGCCATCACGTCGTGAAGAAGGGGGGCCCAGCTAGCAGCGTAGGCAGCAGGCGCCGTCTGGGCAGCCGAGGGGAACGCGCATCCGCCGTCGGCATGGCGCAGCGTGGCCAGGAGCCGCTGGTGGGGGTCCAGGGTTCCACCGGCGATCTCCTCCAGGCAGCCGCACTGAACGCGGTCCAGCTGCTCCGTCCAGCCCCCCTGAAGGTTGGCGCGGAGGCGGTGCGTGACGCATCCGCGGGCGAAGGTCTGCAGGAGAGTGCAGGCGCTCTCGGCCCGCAGGCCCGCCTGTCGCAGCTCTTGCAGGCGGGCGGCAAACGCCGTTGCCTTGGCCACGGCCGTGGCCCCGTCTAGGCCGGCATGGACAGTCACCCTGTCTTCCTCCTCCTCCACCCCCCTCCTCAGCTCAAGCCAGGGGGCAGTGTTCCCCAAACGCGTGAGGTGGTCTTCCTCCTCCTCCCTCCCTCCCTCCCTCCCTCCCCCCTCCCATCCCCTCCCCTCCCCCCCTCCCCTCCCCTCCACGCCACTCCCCTCCCCTCCCCGCCACTCCCCTCCCCTCCCCTCCCCTCCCCCCCCCTCCCTCCCTCCCTCCCTCCCTCTTCTTCATGTTCGTACGCATTGTCTTCTTAGCCTTTGTATTAGTACTGTTATTATTAGTATTTTCCTTCTTCGTAATATTAATAATGTTATCCGCCGGCCCCCTTGTGGGGCCACCAGGCTGTAGGCGCGGGTTCGCAGTTTCCAGTGCCAGTTGTAGCTTGTAGTTTCCAGTGTTACAGTTCTGCTTCTTGCTGGTTACTGTAACTAGTTGATTGACCGCGCGAGGGGGGGGAGGCCCAAACAGGATTTTAGCCTCACCTGGGCGCGTTGTCTGAATTGCTGGGGGGGCTCGAAATCGACACCCCTCACGCAGATCCGCGGGGTCAG